TGAGGATGCTTATTATTTAGATGACAGAGAGAGTGTTTCCTGTTTATCTGGTTCTGCTCTTACAAATAAGTGCTTTGGCTGAAGCCTCTGCTTTCATAAAGGATCAGTCTGATTTTATGAAGGTGAGCCCACATCCTGGAACCTTCAATTGTACTTTAATATTCTGGAAACTATTTCCTTGCTCACAAAAACTTTATTTTGCAATGTTATGGTGTAGGCATGCAATGCCATTGCCACATGCTCTTTTGTTCTTATATCACTGTGTTTCAAAGTGACATGATGGCATTTGCAAAGCAAGAAGAATTGCAACCCAAAATAAGAGAATTGGGAAGATTTTGTTTGTTTTTAAGCAAGCCTGGGTAATCAAAAGCAAATCAGCAGTTAAAACATATCACAAAAGTCTTTAAACAGAATTTCAACAAAATGTTTTTCATTAGTCATTCTCCTGTTACTAAGCTACATCATAATTATGGCTTATACATAGGAAGCTTGTTAATTGCTTTTATATTGAAATCTCTAATTAAATATTTTGCTTAACTAAATAATAGATTAAAAATGGTATGAAAGGACATGACGCGAATAGCTGACTTCTTTTCTGGTGATGGGGAAGATGCACTGGGAGAGCAGTGTGTGATAGTAAACAGCCTCTCTGCAGCAAGTGTGCAAGAAACTGATCTATTCCAGTATAATCCTGCCACCCCCCAAAAAAGTGCTGCACAGAAATAGTCTTCTATCACTGATACAACTTTTATTTATCTGTTTCTGATTCTAACATTGCTGCTCCTCAGTAGCCAAGCTGGACCACGTAGTGTCCTTTTCAATCTTTGTATAGGGAGTCCCTCTGTCATACCAGGTACAGACTGTGGGGAATGCCTCAGAAGGGTTCTCACTTTCTTAGCGACAACTTGATTTGTTGGCTATCAATGCAAACAGCTTTATTTTTAAGCACTACTTACATCAGGTCTGGGCTATTTCTAGAGCCTCACAAGCAAGGATGAGCAATTTCCTTTCTGGTAATCTGACTGGGCTCCTAAATCTAAGATTAACAGTCTTCCTGCCTTATATGGTTTTAGTGTCTTTGTCTACAAAGTCTTTTATATTAAATGAACAATCTAGCAACAGCATTACTTTCTAGAATACACATCCAGATGATGAAGTTTAATTATTCTGTTAATAATTTTTGGAAAACACTGTATAAACTGTTTATGATTTCTTCATTTGTTCACTGTTATCCATCATAAAGATATAGCAATTTCTTCTAGTTATACACAATTGTTTTAATTTAAAGATTAATATATTGCAAAGTGAATTGAATTGCATATGGGCTGGTACATTAAAAAGATTTGCAGTTAAAACATCTGAAATGTATCAGAAGCTGGAGCCAGAGCTTCACAGCTCAGTGACTAAGCTGCTCCAAAAAAACGAATTGGATCACTTCATCCATTCAGATACGGGCACCAAGATAATGTGTTTTCAGGTTGCTGTTTGCATCACTGCCATGGACTCTATCAATACAGACCAAAACGCCATATTAGCAATCCAGCTATTTTCATAAATATCACCTTGCAGTGACAGTGCTTGGAAGATTTAAGCCAATGTACACAGGCATATGGAAAGAGTGTGCTGTATTGGAAACAGCTTTGAAGACTGTGTAAGCTAAATCTCCAGGTCATTCATAGTTTTTGAAAGATTTGTGACACAATCACCTTGGTGTTTGCCATTGTCATCTGTAGTTTGTGCACATCCGTGTACAGAAGCATTCAAGCAGATGCTCATCCCAACAGCAGAATGATAGGGGAAGAGAAGCCTCAGGGCCCAACATTGCAATGTTGTCATCAGATTTGGTTTTGCCACTGCATCAAGTGGCAGCAGCACTGATCCTGAGTTGATAGGCACCAACACAACAGAAACTGATACTTCAGGAAAATTTTCTGCATTTTATATTGCCTTGTGTTGCACAGTCCTTTCAAATGCCAGCTTCCTTGCTTGATAAGGGCATATCATGACAATTAAAACCAGACAATATCTTGTAAGCCACTAGATTTTAATCTTTTGTAGGAAAAGTTAGAAGACAGTATAAATAGTAGGAGAGTGAGTCAGCCTAATTTCCTGACCAAATTCTATTTAGAGTTATTAGTTTCCTTTCGTCTGCATTCTCCCATGTTTTCGGAGACGTTGTAGTTTACATTTAAACTCACAGTACTCTGTCATGCTGTTACTTCCTTCTCCTGCGCAGGTGACTATACCAAGGTTGTGGGAAGAGCATTTCTTGCTTGTTAAATCATTCTGGAGTCATGGATTAGTCTTTATGAAAAAAGTGCTGTATAAATATAGATTTCAAGGGAAACGCATTATTCTTTATCACTTTCATTATTTTATGTTTCTTCATTGCTGTTGGAAATGAATACTTCAGAATAAGTCAGATATTTCTAGTTCTGCTTCTTTAACAACATGAACTAAACAGTAATCTCCAGTAGGATCTGAGCTGACACGTGAGCTTTGGTTTAAACCTAAGCGTTTCAGATCTTTCAGGCAGTGCTGACACAACTAGTGGGTAGAGTTTCTGAAGAAACTTTGAGTCACAAGCACTATAAAGTCATACTGACTTGGCCAAGTAGTAGCATTCATCAAGGCAATGTCATATGAGTGGTGGTAGTGTGACTTTTTAATAAGTATACTCTAGAACTCCTATCAAAAGTCTGACAAACAGGAACATGTTAATTTTACAGTAATAAAAATAATTATATTTAAGAAGAAAACCCTCAATCTCTCTTTACCTATAAAGCATAAGGAGATTGTCTTCATGATCTGATGACAGATTGCCCTTGAATCCTACATCATAAACTAAAAGTGGCAGCAGGGGAATCTCCAAAGGAACGAGGCACTCTTCTGAGAAGAACTGAATATACACTAGCTATGTCTGAGTCACTCAGTGCAATATTTAGAGAGTCTTAATACATTGCTACAGTATGCCACAGGTCTGGTGTCACATGCAGTAATAGCAGGGTAGAGAGTTGGAGTTAATCTCGCCTTCATGTACTCAAGACATAGTCACTGTTCACAGAAGTAGTACCATGGTGCTGTTAGGTCTTTGTTGACATTTCTCCCCGATGGCAGTCCCACTGATGGGCAGGAAAGGGCTGAGGGGTGACCTTGAATCAGTGCATCTCCTGGCAGTCCTGGAGGAGCCCTCCGCTGCCGGATGCTGCCAGGGAAGATGGTGCATACGACCCTTCTGGGCTCTTCCAGGCAGGCTCTCCTCCCCTGGGGTTTTCTGCCAGGCTTCACATTGGCAGGAGTCAGCAGGAACCTACATAAATTTGTTTTTAGATATTTACAGGCTGCAAGTTGCTTTGGTAACATGGTTAAATCCCAGCCTGGGTCTGTTTGATTTCATCTGTATGGTCATCTTTATTAGATGATCAGGATCTCTTTTCCCAGCATGCTTATTCTGCTGTTTATATAGGACCATGGTCAGGCAATGCAGGCAGACAAGGACTCTTTCATCATCGTCCTTCACAGGAGCTGTGCAATTGCCTCATCTGTTTTATTTTCCTCAGCAACACAGCCAAATTACCAAGTCCTAGAGCATGTTCTCATTCTCCCTCTCCCCCAGTGAGTGGATGTTAGCCATGCACCCCCTGCATGAGATGGGGAAACAATGCTGTGTTTCCATAGGACATAACTCAGCTCTGACTGTGCCCTGCAGAGACCAGCCCAGCTCCTCTGCAAACTTGTCAGATTTTCCATGTGTGGCAGAAGCCTGACTTTACTCCAGCTGCCTCAGCTGATCAATACACTGACAACGGTTATTACAGATGCAAGATCATGTGATGAGAGATAGAGTCTCATCAGACACATCTGGAGCAAATTAAAGGGTTTCTGTTCCTTGCTTTGCTTCTCCACAGTCACTATCTTATTCAGAATACAAGAACAGCAACAAAAGCAGTGGGGAGCAGACAAGGACTCATCCATTTCATTTTGAAAAAGGATCATGTCATTGTCATTTAGACTTGAGCCTCATTGTGAGCGGAAGTATTAGAGGATTAGTGAGTAATTTATACCCAGTTATACCTCCAAACGTCAGGGTGGCTTTCATTGCAGCTCAGGGTCATTGCTCCCATGTGTGTGCAGAGAAGAGGATTGCCCAGTGTGACCGTCACACCAAGAGAGGGGTTAGTTAATGATTTATTTCCAGTGAATTAACAGACTAAGGGAATCCTGTGTCTGAATAACACAGCTTACTTGTAGTGACAGTAAATCCTAGATTAACGTGTTGTCCTCCCTTCCACCTTTCCCTCTCTTTCTTACTCTTCCAAAAAGAAAAATAGTCTTCTCCTTCTTGAGGATATTGAACACTACTGTCTAGAAATCTCTGTTTTATCTCGGAACACATGATATATGTAAGTGAAAGCCAAAATCCTAAAGCTCATGGAAGCCCACAGGAGCAGAACTTGAAAAAGAGCCATGTAAGGCTTTCAAGAATTGCTCTGAAGATAAATGCGGTGTATTTGTTTTACATCAGAAGCTGAGATGGAGCAACATCACAAATTCAGTTCTGTTTTATGCTACATTCTTGAGTGCAGTCTAGTGCCAGACAGCTTAAGCTCAGTCTTTAATCTCCATTAAAAACTACTGCAACAAAAAGAAAAAAGAAAGAATTTTTTTTTTAAGTGTTTTTGTGGGGGGAGGTTTTACGAACTATTCTGATTGCTGAGCAGTGAGGCACAGCAGACTTTTGTTCCAATCCACCAGTTTCAAAAGCAGCAGCAATGCACACCATGTCATACAGCTTGTGAGCATATAAGGCATTAACTGACTCCAGGCATAGTAGGAGTTGGATGGCACTTAATGGCTTTGAGTCCTGGTTAAGATCTGGTGAGGTAAAAGTGCTGCTTTTAGCAAGAATCTGACTTGAATGGTCTCATTAATAACCCCAAGTTATTGGCTGTGTACCAAAGCCCTGCTCTATAGTGTGCACCTCTGTTTTGTACAAGGTTACAGCGTGATGACTACATTATGGGAAACTGAGCAGCCCACGGGTGGGAGAAGACTGCACCACTTCTCCTTCCTCACCCCTCCCAATACCTTCTGTGAGTAAGCTGTGACTCCTTAACCATCTCCCTTGTTAAGCTGCAGAGGAATGCAGTGGGGTGGTCTCCCCCACTAGCCTGCTGTGCCTGATGGGTGTGAGATGGGGTCTGTGCCCCAGTGCATGCCCCAATGCATGCCCCAATGCAGCCAGGTCACCATAGCAATGAAGGGCTGCTGGGTAAAATGTGTCACTGCAGGCTTTGCCATGGAGAGGCAGAGCATCTTGGAAGAGCCCACCCAGGAGAAGAAAATAAGGCTGAAAACTGAACTTAGTTCAGTTACTTATCATAGGATATAAGACTTGTGGCTGGTATACAGAGAGAGTCCTTGATCTTTCAGTAATGTCTCTTAAAAGAGGAATTCAAGTTGCACATACAGGTCTGTAAGTTATCCATTATTACCTAGCAGTGTCTTTTCTTCCAGCTGTATAATATGGCTATAAAGATTTATTTGAGTTCTGAAGCCCAGAATCCTTTGGAAACCAAATAAGCCTCTGTTTCAGTTGTGGTTGGAAAAAAAATTCTCTCTCCTCTTTATTTCTCCCTCTGAGTTTCATGCTTCTCTACTTTCAGGTTGTATTCAGTGCAGTACCATATGCAAACACTGCTTCTTCCTCCTATTTCTGGAAGAAATGGCAGGAAGAAATAAAAAGCAATGAGACTTCCATCATGGTCTGGAGATCTGGTCAGTACAAGAGTTTAAGGAAATTCTGAAATCATTGCTGGGGTCAGGAGGCGTCCAAACACACTCAAACACTTGTCTGTCTATGATGAATTTTGCACTTCATACTTCTGCCAATGGAAAGCTAGGTAGTGTGTTTCACCGCCTTGCACAAGAGCTCATTTATAGCTGTGATTATCGGGGAAATGCGCTGAAACTGTTGCCTAGATCCTCAACAGGGTTTTGGGGTCACAAAGCTTGTGCCTTTAGCCAGGTTCAAAAACCTACTTTAGGTATACAGACTCTCCCTGCCCTGTATGGAGAAGGTCAAGTAACGCAGAAAAATATGCAGAAAGGGAGACAGGCTAGGAATTTGGAGGTACAGAAGTCAGGTTTCATCTCAGTGTACCCAGCTTCTTTCCCTGGCTGCCCGTCCACCTTGCTCCCTCACACCCTGACCAGTGCGTGGTGAAGAAGGACATTCTGCTGACACTATGGCAGAAGATTGGGATGGAAGGGGCTGCATCCCACTAGGCAGGGAGAGCTCACTCCATGCATCTCTAAGAAGCAGCTGTGGGCAGAAGGCCACTGCGCCTGCACATCACACTGTTTTCAACAGGTATGGCAGAGCCTTCCTCTTTTAAGTTCCTTTTTTAAAGGAGTTGACCTGAGGAAAGAAACAATTACAAGAGGATTAATCCCCATCTGGGTGGAGGTTAGCAGCCGGTCAGATTTGTGCTGTATTAAATGTGCTCTAAGCAAGCAGGTCAGGATGACTCCCTCAGGGGACAGAGGTGCCATGGAAGAAAGATAAGTGCTTGTAAATCCCTTGAATTCCCAGTACAGAAGTCTCACCCACTAGACACGAGGCAGGAATGAGTGTACAGGTACACCTGTTCAGAGGTCAGGTAAATCCTTGGCACAGCAAATCACCTGGCATGGTGGAGAGGTGCCTTCAATGTTAAATTGCATCAGGGAAAAGCCCTCTTCTTCTGTTGTATGACCCCATATACCAAGCATGTCATTTATGATGTATAAAGTCATGCTGCCATTACATTTGCTTGAACTTGACAGGTCTTTTATTATTATTTCATGTATTTTGCATTCTTTTCTTTTACTTTATTTTATATTTACTTTTGTGTTATCTCATTTTTTATATCGCTGCTGTAGCAAACCTTGCAGTCAGCACATTATTCTCTGACAAGAGGATGTGAATGAACTCTGTGATTCAGCAAATCAGCAATGCTGCAAGAAGGACTTCAGGGTCAAAGCAATTGGCTGCTATAGACATAAAAGCATTACACTAAAATAGAATTGCAGCATCCACAGGAGGCACAAAAAATCAATTTCTTTTTAGAGACCACAGAAATAATGATGATGTATTTTTACAGTAGAAGGTAGAATGCAATTTTTGGTTGATGTCAGGTCTTTTAGGTACCCAGTGATGTCATTCACATCAGTGCTCTGGATGGAACAAGAACAACCAACATCACAGTTCTCATCAGTGATGGCTGGATTTGCAGTTTCATTTAAAATAGATGTCAGTCAAGAGTCTGTTTTTTTAGTGAAATGTCACTAAACCACAAGGAACACACTGACCTGAAAAACTGAATAAAAATAATCTCTCATGGGAGCTCAGGTTCTTGTGCAATCTGCATTTTTTTTGCTTTACTGTTCTTTAAAATGCAACAAAAGAAACCCAAAAGCAATTTGTCATTTTGTCTCAGAATCAGAAAACACTGAGAGAGAGGAAACTGCCCAGCATGAGATTATTATTATTATTATTTTTTTCATAGTGACGTATTTTGAACATGGAAAATATTTCCCAACAGGTTTGGCTCGACCTTGCGATGAAGGCTCAAGTTGGTTCTTCATACATCTGACCTCATATATTCACCTCCATTTATCAGGTGATAAATAGCCCCATGCAGTCCACCCCATGGTGCAGAACAGAAGTCTCACTGGCACCCTGTGGTTCAGAGCCTGCCGGAGGTGCTGGGTTTGATTTTTCTCAATGATCTCAGCTCCAAGAATGGGGATGCAGGCAACTTTTCTCAAGTGCCCGTGCCTTTCCTTCATCTCTTTGCACGACAAGAAGGCCAGGATGGGGCTTTGGGTTTTGAGTAAGATCTCCTTTGAGAGATGGCAAATCACTCTTGACAGCCTGTGAGCAGCAAAACCAGTGCAGGGGTTCTGCACACTTAACAAGCCAAGTCTGGCGAGATGCTCAGCTCAGGACATGGGCAAGATGTATCTCCTGCCATGGTTACCTGTTTGCAGGTGAAATAAAACACAGCCAATTGGTAGGGAATATAATGCTCTAATGCACATTATCACTTCCCCTCTCAGTTTATATCATCAACACCATTCACACAGCCCCTGATTATATACAGCCAGGTGCCTGCTCTTTTTTTAAACCTATTTAGTCATAAGACTACTCCCATAAAGTTTAGGATACAAAAGGAATTTGACCATGTGGAGAATAGAAAAGAACATTTGCATCCCAAGGCAGTATTTTAAAAGTGATTACTATAAACAGCTATAAAAAACAGTCCAACTAAAGGTGTAACAAAAGCTGGAAATGAAATGGAAACAATTAAAAAAACCAAAGCTTTTCCACTTTTCTCAAGTGGATTTTTTTAACTCAAAAGCAGATTTTTTTAACTCAAGAAAAAAGGTCTCATTTAGGACAAAAAATCAAATGTGAGATTTTTCTTCTACATTTCCATTTTGAGAAATTCTCAATGACTTCATAAGACGTGAATTTTCTGAATTATGAAACTTCTTAAAAATAACAGTCAAAAGCTGATGAAATTTTTTATATAAACATGTATTTATCTTTACACTATTCTAAGCTTTTTTGATAAATCTTTACAAAAAACTAACAGAGGTCCTAATTTCTTTTGAAACAAACCAATAATCCGTTCTTGTTCTTTGTCTTCTGTTCAAAGATCAACAGAAATAGAAATTTAGGCTGTGCAATGATGCAGTGAAACAATATATACATTAGTTTGTATTTTCAGTTTATGTGAGTACTTAGCCCTGATGTTGCGAATTTGCTTATGCAAGCAAAACCCGAACAGTATAGAATAGATTATTAAAGCCTTGCTCAAAAATACATGCAGATGCTCTTCCCTTTCTGATTAGTCACCATTTTAGCAGTTTTTCCTCAAGTGATGAGTGGGGGAAGTGGCCTCTGCCTCATCCTGTCCCCATCCAGAAGTGCACACTGCTTCGGCTGGCCAGCGAGGCTCCTGCTGACCAAAGCTGAGTCCTCCAAATGGGATGGAAAGTCACCTCTGGTGGGGATACAGTGACAGAAAGACAGAGGTGCACTCAGAAAGGTTTTCAGAGGTGTTTTCAGGCTGCTAGAACCTGCAGCTAGAAGCGATATGTGAAAAAAACCTCAAAGTAACTGCAGAAAGCAGAGTGCAAGGCAGTTGTTGCATTAAGACCTTCGAGGACTCTGACCACATCTCCTGCACAAGGAAGTACTGAACAAGAGATATTTTTTCTTCCAATACCTTTGTTGGTATAGATTATTATATTTCTAAATACTCCTCAGGACTTTATACATACACAAGCTCCTATTTGTGTCTAGCTACTCCTCTAGGCCACAGATACCTGCCGGCGCAGCTGTTGCTTGTAGTCTTTTCAGCTTAAAACATCTTGCAGACAGTGTGTGTCATTGAGCTGTGCAAGTGTAGTTGTATGCTTTGGGCAAGAATATTTCCTTCTATTTGTTTTGAAATCAGATATATTGAGTTTTTATAGGGAGGTCCAGAAATTCTTGTCATGAGTGATATTTCAGGCATTGTCCTCAAGGGATCAGGTATGCTTGAGGGGCTACTTTTCTTCCTTCTGCAGCTGAGTCAGTTCCATCTTAAACCTTGCATTTAAAATTTTACCTATCATAAAATAAAGACATTGACTGAATAAAAATCCCTTCTTTTTCTAATTTGATTTTGCTCCCAGCAGCCTGTGTCCGAGGACAGCAAACAACTTTCACAGACCTCTGCTCTAGATCCAGTTATCAGTGTATCAGCAAGGAGGTGTACAGAGCAAACTGCTCAGCCCTGCCTGATGGCCAGTCCCAGAACCCTTCAGAGAAAGAAGCTGCTGCTGGGGTGACCATCAATGTGTGATTAGGACAGAGGCACATATGGAAAGGAAGAATCTTGGAGCCTCTCACTTGAAGAACAGCTTGCACATCACTTGGGAGTTGTCCAGCTTGTGGCCAGGACCCTGGAGCTCATGAGTTCTTGGTGGAAAGCACAGATGAGAGACTGTGCCCTGCTGTGTTGCCTCAGCTATAATTTCCAAGTGGCCTGAAGGTACAGTTCCACGTAGCTGTAATTTGATCTCAGGGTGACAAACTAAGATCAATAAACACACGAAGGTCCCTAGCAGGAGACAAGGATGAAACCTGCCTGCCAAACACAGAGTACAAAGAGCTTGGCAAGTCTCTTAAGTTCATTATATTTAGTAACTCACTTAATATGTTGGATTTGCTGTGCATGGTGCAAACAAGGATTTTGAACTACTGAGAATACCTTTCATAACAATCACCTAGTGCTTTCAAGGGCATGGTGCTGAGGGATCAAACTAATATAGCCCAGGGTTTCCTGCCACACACCATAAAGACATAAATGGAAAAAGCCAAATAAATGTCTTAATATGCTCCCAGAAAGTTGCATGAGTATCCAGAAGAATGAATTTGTCTATTGTTTCTCCATGTATAAATCTTTCAGAACGATAATCCTTAGCAAAATAGCTAGCATATGAGTAATTTTTTCTTTTTTTTTTTTAAGTTGTCTTTAGTAGAAGCTTTTTGTACTATGAAGGATCCAAAAGAGAGTAATCTGTTGAAAAGTTTTTAGTTCTGCCACTTAAAAATAACCAAATGGGGTTTTAATTTTTTGAATATCCTTCTGCCCTGAGAAAAAAATGCTCTGCTTCTGCTTACTACACAGTTTTAAGCCCAAGATTCCCTGGCAGACCTGCCTACCCAGCACAGCTGTGATTAGATTGGTTCCAACGTTGAACTGACTCTTTGGCTCCATCTGCATCTGTAATGACTGATGGAGTTGATACTGCCTTTCCACTTACAGAGTGACAAAAGGGAAAGTGGCTTAGAGGACACTGCTGCCTCGTTTAGAAGCAACAGTTGGTTTGGAGCCTGATGTACTGTCATGGAGCTGGTCACTGGCAGCTCTGGTTTTGCTTGAGAAAAGAGAAACCACTGAGATGAGCCACGTAGGCTAGGGAAGGTCTGGTTCAAACAACCAGCTGTAGCAAACAGGAGCTCCAGCAGAAAGAGGTAAGGGACTATCTGAGGTGGCAAGATTCAAGGAAAGGGAGGATACAGAAGTTCAAGGTGTGTTCATATCTGAAACTTATGTAAAGGACTGATAAACTTACGGTCTTGCCACATTGGGACATTGTGTCTTTTCCAAAATCACTTCAGATAGAACAAAATATTTCTGTCAGGTGATTACGTAAGAATCTCGGCCTCAAATCAATGACAGAGTAAATACAGTCCTATCTGATGCTTGAGGATATTTGAGAGGGGTGGAGGGATGTTTTCCTTTCATGTGAGCTCATGGCTGTTTATTTTCTATTAATACAAGTCACTACCCAGCTGTCAGTTAAAAGCAAAAGCTCTGACATCCCATTGCATTGTTTACTTTTAATATGTCCTGCTAGATAAATAACTGCACTGGACTGAGCATGAACGCTCTGTGATACTTAACCCTTTCTGTTAGAGGTCTCCTAATTAACGTGGAACAATCAAATGCTCCTAATGACAGAGAGAGCAAGAGAGAGTCCACTTTGGGCATCCAGCGGATGAAGCAGAAAGTGCAGCAATCCAGCTGCTGCATGAATGGATATTGCATTACTTTGTACAAAATATTTGCAGGTAAAGAGATTGGATCACAGGCCTTCCTCTCATTTATGTATTTCCTATTTGCGTTTCTGATTAATGAGACACCAAAATGATTGCAGTAAGAAGTTCACTCTAATGTAGAGCACAGAAATATTGTACAGTAGATTGATACAGGCCCTTGACATGAAAGTTTATTTTGTGTCAATATGCCTCTAATAAATGTGCTTCATTTTCTGCCTCTATAGGAATTCATACTGCTTGCAGGAAAAAGTGGCTCAGGGAAGTGGCCAACACACTGTACTTTCAATATCCCTCTGAGACGTCATGAGCATGGGGCATGAGATGACATCTGTACAAAGGCTTAGGTTATCTTTGAGAATATAAAATGAACATTATCCACAATTCAGTAGATTCTTTATGTGTAATTTGCCACCTACACATACATTATTAAAGCTCTTGATGCACCCAAGCGCTCTTCTCTAAGTTGCAGCAGTAATATAAAAACCCACAAAGTTATTATTACACAATTTTTCTTGCAAAGATGATATTTTACCACTGTAATCACTTCCCTCTAGGAGACTCCAGAAGAAAATTTCATCTCCATTACTAATGATTTATAGAGTCAACTTTGTGCACTCCTCTTGAGCTTTCCTGTGACCTGCTGAAGCACAATTAATGGAAGCCATAATAAGGAAAGTTGCCTTCCCTCTTCCTACTAAAGAGGAACCTTTTCAAATAGGGGTACCTTTGGAAGTTTCATACAAAGCAAAATGCCAGTGTGTCCTTGCTGTGTTAGGGAAGGAAACAGGAAGGAGGAAAAATCAATTCAAGTAAGAGGAAAATGGAGAAGAACAAGAACATATTAAAATAAGAACAGTTACAAGGAACCTGACCATGATGGACTAGAGAGGTGGAGAGAGAAGCATTATAATGAAATAATAACGCATATGCTACTCACTAAACTCATTCTGGCTAGGGATTATTTTACACAGAGAAGCCTTTTGTCTTTGTTTTTTAAAAACTTATTGCCCCAGAGACGACACAAGATAAGATATTAATGGGAGAAAAAGCCTCAGGCTTTATTCCTGTGTTGGAAAATACATGAGCCAGATACCATTAAAGGCAATCCCCTCTGCACAGAAGCAGAGAGTGGCCTTCTCAGTGCTCAGAGGGCCAGGGTCTAAATAAGCTTGTGTTGAGGGGCTCTTTGGCCAAGGTCCTTTCTGATGAGATTAGGTCTGGAAATAACACTGTGTTCTTTAGGGACAAGGAATATAGAGCGGAATTTGATAAAAATTCCTCTGAGTGTGGTATTCTCCTTCATTTCCTCTTCCACTTTCCTTTAGTGCTTTAGTGCTCCTGGCTACTGACTGCAACAAAACCTATTTGAGGGAGAAGGTTTATGTACAATACCTGCTTGCAGTAAAGCTGGCTAGGCTAGGAAAGGAAGTGTCACATAAAGCTGTTCACTTACTTTAAAGACTTGTCTTTGTTAATTTCAACCCTATTGCACCAGAACGGTTTGTATTGCTCTAATTCTGTAACATGGGAATGCTACAAAACTCACGCGGCATATGATGAGATCTAAAACCTTTCATCTCTCATTCTCTATCATTATTACTTTTTTAGGTGATATCTAATATTATAATTACAATAAAAGGCATGCTCTTGACTGTTGTTAAACCTTTTCTGGAGTGGATTTCCTCTATGACAAGCTTAGCACTTATGGAAAAAGAATGTTTTCCTTTTTAACCTTCGGAGCACCCTTTTTTTTCTGGTGATTAGCAGAAACGACATTTAAGGAGAATTTTCTGACTCTTTTTTGCAGCATGTCCGAGGAGCTCAGAATTTAAAGCCCTGCTTTCATCCTTGGAAATGTATCTGCATGTTCACAGCTTCAGACTGAAGCTTACACATTTTTGCTGCTCTGCTAAAGCCTTAACTTAGGTTTTCTGCTGGGATTTTATAGACAGAAAAGATATATCTCTTTTGTTGTCTTTTTATTTTTTAAATATTTTGTGTACTTGAATTGTACTATCTTTTGCTTAGAATTTAGTTTTGTGTTGTTTTGTCTTGAAGTAGTTCAAGGTCTGAGTAGGGAGGGTCAGAACATTAAACTTTAAAGAATATATGAAACAAGCTCTTGCAGAAATAAAATCCAAAGGTAAGACAGCTTGGAGATCTGAAGAGAACATATGATTGCATTTTATGAAGGTGCTGAATTACAATTAATAAAGCAGAGTGCAAATCACTAAGTAGGTGATAAATCTGTACTCTGGAAAAAGTCATCAGTTTTCAGCTGAGGTTATGGTACTGTTTGTAAGGGTAAGTCCACATAGTTTCATTGTGTGCTAATTCCGTGTGTGTGTCTTTATGTGGATTTGTGCTCCCACATAGCAGAATTTGTTTAGATCCCTGGTATGTGTGGAATGTGTCATTCATTTGTGTGTACCACCTTTATTATCCTTTTTAGTTTTGACTTGTTTCTTGCACTAGTCTTAGCTTCCAAACTTAATGTAAGGTTATAAGCTTGCCTGAGAAGACATATGCTTTGGGCAGTCATGTAGTACAATCTATACTAAGAAATGGCTCACAAGGCTTCAACTTCTACTATTTTCCATGAAACAGATTGCCTAGCTTTGTATAAACATATTAATAGATGTAAGAGAGAGTTTTAAAGCTGTCATCTTGTATGGTACTACTCTGGTTGCTAATATATATTCGCCTTCTATATATACATATATACATCTTGGTTATTCTGCAACACTTTGATATATATCCGTGTATGTGTTTTGACATCAGCCCTTATACAAATATTTATCTATACAAGCATAGATGTGTATGTGTTGCTTGTATAATTGCTGCAGAAGAAACAGAGAACAAAAACTGAAGCATAAGCATGTACTGTTGTCACACTGAAATTTTTGAATAACACTCTAATGTATGTAAATGCTATTCATAAGTATATAGCTCCATAAAAGTCATTAGTTTGCCCACCAGTAGGCAAAACTACAGGTCAAACTTGTGTAAAATAAATGCATGAACATTACAGTAGTAATAGTTGACAATATACTGAAGGTATAAAAGTACTGAAAGACTATTTAAATGAAAACCTTTGTCCTTTTACACAGAGAGATGAGTTCTTCTCCAGGTCACAAGCTGTATCTCCTACCCAAGAGCATCACCTTTTGCTTACTAGATGGTAATAGTTGAGCATTCAAACACTAAACAAAAAGGAGAGAGAAAAGAAATCAGTAAGCAAAGATATTTATGAGGAAATAAATTAGTTACTGACTAAGCATTTTCAGCATTTTGATAAGATGTTGCTTTTGTGCCAATAGACATTGCTGAATAGGTGTCAGAAGTCCATGCAGATTCAATCTAAAGATAACCTCAGCTAACATTCCCTGCCAACTTTTTGTTGATTTTAGCAGTTCAATATGTTTCACAACATGAGATGAATTTTCATTATGTATTTCTGGTAGTATATCTTACTGCAAGAACCTGCAATGGCCTGACTTGGATTTTTCACCCACTAAAAAACAATTTTGCTATTAGCCAGGCTGCAAGCAGATTGGGAACACAAATTTTCTGCTGCTTGGAGTTTGAGGAACATAGAAAGCGTGTCTGGAAGATGAAAAATCTATACACAATTCTAGGAGAAATGGAGCATCAGAATTAGATAAGAGGTAAATAGCTCAGGTCTGGTGAAATCTGGCTGCTGGGCACTGGTGGAGATGCACTTTCTCAGAGCATGTGACGGAAGGTCTCTCTCCCTGTGGTGTGGCAACTGTTTTGTTTTGCCTCCCGCAACATAAAGGAGAATATAGGTCTGTGGGCAACATGTGTTTTGATGGAGAGTGGTACATTCATTAATCTCTCTTAATAATGCCCTTTACTGTGTTCCAGGAAGCACTCCAATGAAAGCGGCTCATAGATTAGAGGATTTTTCTAATTCCCAGTGCTCCAGGCCCTGGTAGATCTACTTTAGAAAGGACACACATCTGATGCTGTTGCAAGCCCATCTCAGCCCAGCCAGATGGCCTGCTCAGGCACCAGCTGGTGTCAGCCATTTGTACCCATGTGGGTACACATCTGGAAGATCCATTCATGTCTGACCAAGATGACTTCAGATGGAAGAAACAAATGTCTTTAAACCACCCACACTATAGCAAAGCCTCCTGATGGCAAACTTGCAGCATGTGTGTCCCCAAAGCTCCTCAGTCCCCAGGAATGTGCAGAGTAACAATAATTTTTCTCAGCACAGTGCTAGGTCTCATCACATAAAGATGCATATGACTGAGATAGTAAGATAATATGTGGCAACTGTGTTTAAGGCATTAAGAGGGGACATCAAGGGGAAAACAGCAGTTGACTCAGAATGTCCTTTTTTATGGCTGAGTTGTACCCACAAATAACTAAGGACATTATTATATTTGCTATTACAGTATGTTATATTACATAAAAGAAATCAGACTAAGAAAACACAATGCTTTGGTCTAACTTTCACTTAACTAAGGGCTGCCTATTAAAGTATGAACACCCTCTAAAATCAATCAGTGACAATCTTTGCTTGATCTTCATTAAAATATTTTTTTTTTCCCAAATAGGACAAAATATATGGCACAGGAAAATCATTTAAACATTGGTGATATTTTTATTTGATGTCTTTGTGTCCTGGGTTCAGCAGTAGCAGTCATTTTTCTCCTTCTTGGTAGCTGGTGCAGTGTGTTTTGACTTCCAGCCTGGGAACAGGGCTGGTGATACCGATGCTTTCGGTTGTTGCTAAGTGATGTTTACCCTGACCAAGAACTTTGTGAGGCTCATGCTCTGCCAGGGAGGAGGGGAAGCCGTGAGGAAGCAGAGACGGGGCACCTGACCCAGGCTAGCCAGGGAGGTATTCCATACCACAGCACGTCATGCCCGGGTGGGGGGTAACTGGGAGTTACCCGGAAGGACACGGGCTTCTGGGTGGGACTCGTTTCTCGGTGGGTGGTATTGTATGCTATTCCCTTGTTATTTTCTCCTATCATTGTTGTTGGTGGTGGTAGCGGTGGTGATTTGTGTTGTACATTGGTTGCTGGACTGTTCTTGTCTCAACCCGTGGGAGTTGCACTCTTTCAATTCTCCTCCCCATCCCTTTGGGAGTGGGGAAGGGGAGAGCCCCTGGGAGGGGGGGGCACCTCAATTGCTTCCAGCCTGGCACCACTCACTGGGAGTGAGTGAACAAGCTATCTGGCTAGGGTTTAAACCATGACACTTTGTTTTAACCCAGGCTTGCCAAGAGAAGCACATCAGATTTACAGATGAGAGCACACTAATCCATATGCTTTAGACCACAGGGTGAAAAAGCGAAAGCAGAACTGAGGACATGTTCTACTTGGAAAATTTCAAAATGTTGCTAGATGATTTTTTTGTACACACAAGAGCAATGTGATTCAGCAGGGTTTTTATAGTGTGAAGTCTGAAATGTCCAGAAAGCAGGGAAAAGAATCTTAAAAATACTGGCATGTTTTAAAGCAGGCTGTGCAATCAACTTAAAGAATAATACACCAAAGAATTGCTCTAAGTACAGACTACAGGCAATCCTTGTGCATAACTACTGAGGAAATAAGACCTATATTGTACAGGAGTAAATTTGAAGTCTTTGCTCCCCAGTTCTATTTTGTCATTTGGTTGGCCAAGAGTGTCTTTTTTGCTGAATTTATATAGTGTCCAACAGAACAGAGTCCTCAACCAGCCATGGGGTCTCTGGGCAGTATTGAGTAATATGGAAAATGATACTTTAATATTGCTCTTTGGAGACCTGAAATTAAGTCTTCTGTTTAGCTGCAATCGTTACATTGACCACACAGTTTGAGGTTATGAATGTTGGTTGTATGGTAATGGGGCTCTAGAGATCTGGGTTCAGCTCTTGGCTCAAGCACAGCCTGCAGCTGTTCAATTACTCTCCATGTGCCCCAATCCCTAATCTGTCAGAAAATAACATATTTTTTTCCCTATCCTGTGTGACAGACCCTGT